CCTGAACCCCCCCGCCTGATCAACCCTCTACGTAAATCTACCCTCCTTTGAACCCGGAGGGGGGGGGGGGGCTGTTTGTAAAAGGGCAAACGCTGGGGGGGGGGGGGTGGTTATGGAAGGCGGATTGTTCCATCAAACTGCACCCCCCACCCCAACTAAATTGTTGAAAGGAACAGAATTCAGTTTTCGAAAGAAAAAATGTAGCAAAAATATCAAAAGTTAGTCTGTGTCAAGAACGACATTAACAATCTAGAACCTCCGGGTAAAATTGATGGGGAAGAACGACAGGCAGGACATAAAGCAGAGGGCATATTCGCGGGCGTAGAACCCGGCAGTGTAAGAAGGTCAAAATGAAAACTAAAATGAAAGAAGTGCGCAAAATTTGAAAACAAAACTGCTTGCCACAAACATCTCCCGGGTTGACAAAAAAACGCTTATCATAAATTTTTAATTTAGGAAAAAAGACATATCATACTCTTTCATCCAATTTCATAGAGCCAAAGTATTTGTATGAGAATAGCAAAGTAAGCATTTTTTTCCAAAAAAGAAATTGTATGATAAGCATTTTTTCCATATTATGAAATTGTATGATAGGCATTTTTTCTATAAATGAAAAGACAAAATTTTTTTGTTTCGACATTTCGTGTTTCAACTGAAACAATAACCAAGGATTTTTTTGTCATAAGAAAACCCAGAGTGCAACTGGCAGTTACCACTCAGATAAACTGCATTTGGTGATTTTAACCAAAAAAGTTAACTTTAACATTTTCACATGGAAATATATACCAAAAGAATAACTTTTTGAAAATGGCTAGAATATTTTTTTAGTTTGAAACTTTTGATGGTTGAGAAAAACATGCCTGTTTGTTTTTACAAATCTGATTATATTTTAATCAATGAAACAAACAATTATAATCATGTTTACAAAAAAAAACACTTTCTTGGGATTTTTGGATTTTTTGGATAAGTGGGGAGAATTATTTTGGTCTACCTAATAGACACAGAAATGTCATATTTTGCATGCAAATTGTTTTCGTAATATATTTATTCTCGCACAAAAGCAAGTTTGCAGACAATAAAGGGAATGAAAATTTTTTTTTTACCAAATAATTTATAAGAAAACTTTATGATAAGCCTTTTTCTGGCCAAAATTAAATTTATGTTTTTCAATTGTCAAAATGCCCTCTATCATAGATATATTTTATTAAGTCTATTTAAAGTTACCCAGACACGTTTTTTGGTGAATTTTGAAAATTATGTTTTTTTCACAAAATGACAACTTTATAATTTTCATGCATGAAAATTGTATGACAAGCACTTTTTATAAAAAAAAAAACTTAATTTTTTTTCCTTATGGCTAGAAAGCTTCAAAAATGGCTATTAGATTGAATATTTTTTATAAACTTTTAAAGCACTTTTTAAATTTTGTATGAACTTTCTATAATAAGCATTTTTTCCATAGAATTAATTTATGAAACTGTAAAATAAGCATCATTCTTCTATGGACGTCAACCCGGGCTGTAATCGACCTTATGCATTTATAATTGTTTCAATAAAACAAATGGAAAAAAAAACAAAAAAAAAAATCAAATTAAGTTTTTTGTTGTAAAAAAATTTGCACCTAATATAACCTGAAAAACTACAATATTTGCTATTTTCCAAGCTTTTGTAAGCTCTAAGACAAACACAATTGTTTTTTGGTGATGTCACGCGTTCGGAAAACGGTCGGAATTCCATCAAAAGCCCCCCCCCCCTCCATTCCTCACCTGAATACCCCTTCCCCACTTGAGCCCCTCACATGTTCAACAAACCCCACCTGAGCGTACCACCCCCCTGAGCACCCTCACCTCCTGAGCGTACCACCCCCCTGAGCACCCTCACCTGAACAACCACCACATGAACGCACAACCCCTCCCCTACCTGAACCCTACCCATCATCCCCACCTGAGCCCCCCACTGAACCCCCTTTCCCACCTGAACCCTCTTCCTTCCCCACCTGAACCCCCCTTCCCCACTTGAACCCCCCACCTGAGCCTACAACCTCCCTGAGCACCCTCACCTGAACAACCCCCACATGAACGCACAACTCCTCCCCTACCTGAACCCTACCCATAATCCCCACCTGAGCCCGCCACTGAACCCCCTTCCCCCACATTAACCTTTCCCCTTCCCCACCTGAACCCCCTTCCCCTCGTCCCTCTACCACCTGAATACCTCCCCCCTGAGTATTCCCACTTGAGCATCCCACTTTGAGCATACCCCACCTGAACACACCCCTCCCCCCACATGATCCCACCACCCCTCCCCAACCTGAACCCATCAATCCCCCACCTGAAAACCACCACCCCTCCCCAACCTGAACCCATCCATCCCCCACACTTAACCCCACCCCCACTTGACCCCAAAACCCCCATTGAACAACTCCCCCATGAGCAACCCCCCCCCCCCCCTGAGCAGCCCCCATCTGAAACCACCACCCCCCCCCCCCCATATGAACCCACCAGACCTCCCCACCTGAACCCAACACATCCCCCACCTGAACCCCCTCACTGAACCTAACTTCCCCACCTGAACCCTCCCCCTTCCTCGTCTGAATCCCCCTTCCCCACTTGAACCCCCACATGGTCAACAACTCCACCTGAGCCTACCACCCCCCTGAGCACCCTCACCTGAACAACCCCCACATGAACGCACAACGCCTCCCCTACCTGAACCCTACACATCATCCCCACCTGAGCACCCCACTGAACACCCCTTTCCCACCTGAACCCTCTTCCTTCCCCACCTGGACCCCCTTCCCCACTTGAGCCCCCCACCTGGTCATCCCTTCACCTGAGCACCACCACCTGAACCCCCCGCCTGATCAACCCTCCACGTAAATCTACCCTCCTTTGAACCCGGAGGGGGGGGGGGGGCTGTTGTAAAAGGGCAAACGCTGGGGGGGGGGGGGGGGGGGGTGGTAATGGAAGGCGGATTGTTCCATCCAACTGCACCCCCCACCCCAACTAAATTGTTGAAAGGAACAGAATTCAGTTTTCGAAAGAAAAAATGTAGCAAAAATATCAAAGTTAGTCTGTGTCAAGGAACGACATTAACAATCTAGAACCTCCGGATAAAATTGATGGGGAAGAACGACAGGCAGGACATAAAGCAGAGGGCATATTCGCGGGCGTAAGCAGGTCAAAATGAAAACTAAAATGAAAGAAGCGTGCAAAATTTGAACACAAAATTGCTTGCCACAAACATCTCCCGGGTTGACAAAAAACTCATATCATAAATTTTTCATTTAGGAAAAAAATGCATATCATACTCTTTCATCCAATTTCATAGAGCCAAAGTATTTGTATGAGAATAGCAAAGTAAGCATTTTTCTCCAAAAATGAAATTGTATGATAAGCTTTTTTTCCATACTATGAAATTGTATGATAGGCATTTTTTCTATAAATGAAAAGACAAAATTTTTTTGTTTCGACATTTCATGATTCAACTGAAACAATACCCAATGATTTTTTGTCATAAGAAAACCCAGAATGCAACTGGCAGTTACCACTCAGATAAACTGCATTTGGTGATTTTAACCAAAAAAGTTAAATTTAACATTTTCACAGGGAAATATATACCAAAAGAATAACTTTTTGAATATGGCTAGATATTTTTTTAGTTTGAAATTTTTGATGGTTGAGAAAAACATGCCTGTTTGTTTTTACAAATCTGATTATTTTTTAATCAATGAAACAAACAATTATAATTATGTTACAAAAAAAACACTTTTTTGGGATTTTTAGATTTTTTGGATAAGTGGGGAAAATTTTCCTGGTCTACCTAATAAACACAGAAATGTCATATTTTGCATGCAAATTGTTTTTTTTTCGTAAATTATATATTCTCGCACAAAAGCAAGTTTGCAGTCAATAAAGGGAAGGAAAATTTTTTTACCAAATGTTTTATAAGAAAACTTTATGATAAGCCTTTTTCTGGCCGAAATTAAAATTATGTCTTCAATTGTCAAAATGCCCTCTATCATAGATATATTTTATTAAGTCTACTTGAAATTACCCAGACACGTTTTTTGGTGATTTTTGAAAATTATGTTTTTTTTTGACAAAATGACAATTTTATAATTTTCATACATGAAAATTGCATGACAAGCACTTTTTATTTAAAAAAATTAAAATTTTTTCCTAATGACCAGAAAGCTTCAAAAATGGCTATTAGACCGAATATTTTTTCACAAATTTTTAAAACACTTTTTAAATTTTGTATGAATTTTCTATAATAAGAATTTTTTCCATAGACTTCATATATGAAACTGTAAAATAAGCATCCTTCTTCTATGGACGTCAACCCGGGCTGTAATCGACCTTATGCATTTATAATTGTTTCAATAAAACAAATCGAAAAAAAAACAGAAAAAAAATTCAATTCAAGTTTTTTGTTGTATAAAATTTGCACCTAATATAACCTGAAAAACTGAAATTTGCTATTCTCCAAGCTTTTGTAAGCTCTAAGACAAACACAATTGTTTTTTGGTGATGTCATGCGTTAAGAAAACGGTCGGAATTCCATCAAAAGGCCAAACTGTGCACTGGATAGGCGCACAATTTTGTGTCTATATGTTGCTGGATTCCTTAGACAAAAGTTTAAACATGTTCCAAAATAACAGTGGAATCCACTGACAAAACTTCCGTGGGTTCCGCGTATAAATACCTGTAACGTAAATTTTGTCGGCACATTTGTTTTGTTGCGGTTTCCGTAACAAGCGAATATAGCTAGCTGTTCTGGGTTCCAAAACTGTACGTGGATTCCACAAAATACAAGTAGAATCCGCAAATGTTAGTGGAATCCGCGAATTTTGTGAGAAAAATCCGCAACTGTAAACGGATTCCGCAAAGTGTAAGTGGATTCAGAATTTCGTCTTATACTGAACTTGCATATGAGCAATTAAAAGCAATAGCTGGAGTTCTTATCTATAGCAATGCGGAATTTAATGGCAAAGACTTAACCATTGTCAGCGGAATCCACGAACAAATCTCAAAATATTTATTGACTAAATTGGCGGATGTCAGCTTTTAATATTTTGGAAACACAGCACCGTTCAAATTTTGGAGTCATTGGGTTGAGGGTGTATCCAAATACAACACTCAGCGTATGGCCACTTTAGTAGAGTATTTGGGGTTCGTCAATCCCAAATACTGATTTTGGAAGCATAACGCCAAATAAATTCAATACTTGTAGTCATTGTGTTGAGATTGTATGGAAACACAACACACAGCATATCGCCAATTTAGGTCAGTATTCGGGATTGTGTCAATCCCAAATATTTGTTTTGAAAGCTTAAAACGAATAAACTAATTTCTTGTAGTCCATGGTTTGAGTGTGTTTGCAAAGACAACGCACAGCGCCGAATTGGGTGAATATTTGGAATTGCATCAGTATTTGGGACCGAAGTTCAGATTGAAGTAGGTCAGTATTTGGGATCAGTAGATCAGCATTTGAGATCGAAGTTCAGTAAGTCAGTATATGGGATCGAAATTGAGGTCGATGTTGACAGGAGTTGTGATCCAAGTTGGGTTGACAGGAATTGAGACCAAACATTTCAACTGGTAGTTGATCGACGTAATAATTGAGATTGACTTTTCTGGTGACCAGTAGTTGAAGGATATTATTTTAAACGCCATACTATTTATGTGCAGACTTACAACTTGCGGATTCCACTAACACATTGCTGATTCTGCTTACAGTTGCGGAATCCTCAGCAGCTCTTTTTAACTAAACAAATGTCTTTGATTTGTTTGTGGGTTCCACAAACTGTTCTGGATTTGCCAAGTACTTTTGCAGATTCCGCAAAATTGCCATTTTTAGAAGCGGTTTTGAGCGGTACAGTGTTTTAGGTATTTGTTTGTGGAATCCAAAACAGCAAAGAAGATCAAAGAAAAGTAACAAAATTGCGGATTCCACGACAAATCTGATCTTGGCCTGTTGTGGAATCCGCTTACATTGCACAGAATTCACAGTATGGCCTTGTAATGCCAATCTTAAAGCACAGATCGAGGTCTTTAGTAGTCTCATAAAAAAACTCTCGGCTGCACAAACGCTGAAGACCAGTTTTGCACCAAATGGGCAAGAAAATCAAAACAAACTCGGAAAGAGAAGAATTCGTGTGTCAGAGTAAGGGCGGCTCTCATAGGCAGCTACAGTTTGAGTTCAAACAATGAAAATTAGGCAAAACTCATAACGGATGTTATGTCAGGCATATAAAAAAAGTGATAGCAAATCGATTATACTGGATTTTCGTGGTTTATAAAGTTGCTAATACAATCGATTCCCATGTTACGTTCAGTAGCAAAATTGGAATAAAAATAGATTTAAATCAATTTTTTCACGCCAAAACAAAATCCATTATAATTCATCTGGAATCCATTAAAATGGATTTCATAGTAAGTAGGAAATTACATTAAAATGGATTTTTTCCACTTTAGTTTTGCTTCGCGCGTCGTGCAAAACTTTGCACGATTTTCCGCATTTATCAAGTGAGTTATGCGGAAATTTCGCAAAACAATTGTACGGCCTAACCCATTTCTAGACCTAATGTCAATTTGCAAAAAGAATCCGTTAAGTTCTCCCCCTGACCTAACGTTTGCCCTTTTGTTCCCCTTCAATCCACCTGACAATTGCCCCTTTGCCTACCCCCACTCAACCACCCACCATCCCTATCTAAACACCCCTCCCCCACCTGAACATCCTCCCAACTGAACCCACATCCCTCCACCACCTGAACACCTCCCCCTGAGCATCCCCTTCTGAACACCCCCCTGAGCAGCCGCCACCTGAAACCAACCCATTCCCCACCTGAACCCCCCTGCACTGAACTCCCTCCACTGAACCCCCTCCACTGAACCCCCTTCCCCACCTGAACCCTCCCCCTTCCCCACCTGAACCCCCCTTCCCCACCTGAACCCCCCTTCCCCACCTGAACCCCCCTTCCCCTTTGAACACCTCCCCCCAGCCTGATCAACCCCCTACCCGTAACCACCCCCTCTGAACCTCACGGTGGGGGGCTTGTTGTAAATGGGCAAACGCTGGGAGGGGGGGTGGTAATGGAGCGCGGACTATTCTACCTCAAACCCCCCCCCCAACTAAATTGTTGAAATGAACAAAATTCACTTTTTGAGTAACATAAAACGAATCAAAAATATCAAAGTTGGGCAGTGTCAAGGAACGACATTAACATAATAGAACCTCCAGATAAAATTGATGGGGAAGAACCACAGGCAAGACATTAAGTAGAGGGCAGAATCGCGGGCGTAGAGCCCGGCAGTGTAAGCAGGTCAAAATGAAAACAAAAATGAAAGAAGCGCCCAAGTTTTATAACCAAAATTACTTACCACAAACATCTCCCGGGTTGACAAAAGATGCTTTTCATACATTTTTCATTAATGAAAAAAATGTTTATCATACTCTTTCATACAGTTTCATAGAGCTAAGGTATATGTATGAAAATAGCAGAATGAACGTTTTTTCCAAAAAGAAATTGTTTGATAAGCGTTTTATCCATACTATGAAATTGTATGATAGGCATTTTTTCTATCAATGAAAAGACAAATTTTTTTTGTTTCAACATTTCGTGTTTCAACTGAAACAATAACCAAGGATTTTTTGTCATAAGAAAACCCAGAGTGCAACTGGCAGTTACCACTCAGATAAACTGCATTTGGTGATTTTAACCATAAAAGTTAATTTTAACACTTTCACATGGCAAAATTTTAATTTTTTGAATATGGCTAGAGAATTTTTAGTTTGAAAATTTTGATTAATAATAAAAAA